CTTTCTCTTCTCTCACTCTCTCTTTCTCTTCCGCCTCTTCCTCTAGCTTGAAAATTTATTGGGATGAAGGTATTTAATAACCCCATATGCAACTATTTCCACCGCCCCTCTCCCATTTTTTCTACTTCCACCTATTCCTTCCCCTTTTTCTTTTGCCATTAATACCTTCTCCCCCCATTTTTCTTTGTTCTCCATTTATTACACCCCCCAAGTCTTCCTTCTTAAATTGCTCCTCTCTCAAATTCTTCCTTTGGTCAAATGAAGCAGCTTTCCACTAAAAGCTGTTTCCTCTTTTTTTATTAATAATTTAATAATAAAATACTATTTAATTTAATTTAATAAATATTTTTTATTTAATTATTTTTTTAATTTCTTTTGAGTATTTTTTTTTGGTTACAATGATGGTGGAGTTTTGATTATAATTCTTTGAGAGGATGGTATTGGTTCAGTAGGTTTAGTGTATGATGGTGATGGCTGGAAAGGTTTTTTAGGTGAAGGGAAATGAGGTGGTCTTAGTGGAGATCTAGGAAGAGGATTTGGTTGTATTGGTGGTTGAGGTTTTCTCAATTGTCTTAAAATAGGATAAGACATTTTGAAAACTTAAATGCAGTTAGATTCTCTAAGATAAGAGAGAGGTGATGTTGGATAGGTAGGAATCTGGAAACTGGAAGGGTAAAATGGATATGGGTCATAGATGGTTTGTGAATGATCCTTTGTAATATCTAACTCAATCCCTTGTAAATCCTTTCAGATCTGTGATAGTTCTTGCTCCTTTCTGATAAATTCTAGTCCAATGTATCCGTTTTTGATAAACTGCTTCAAATCTACACCCAATTGATAAGCTTGAGAAGACAAAGTCATATAAAGTTATTTGACCTGATCAGAAACTTGATCAAGTCTGCTTGTCAAAGTATCAGTTATGAGAGTCAGCAAATCAAGCTTTGAGTCAATCTTCGTTAAGGTTCTATTCTGACTAATTACATTTCGAGTCTGCCAGTTAAAAACTTTTTTTTATTGTTAAGACTAGTCTAGCTTCAGTAAAGGGAGAGATCTCAGTTAGGACTAAGAAAGGTCTTACTGAAACTTTTGTTTCTTTGTTGGTTCTTCTTTCAAGTGGAGGAACATCCTACTCATAAGGGTCCATCATTGCTATGCACGAAATGGGTCGTTGGATGATAAGAATCACTAGATCTGGCCTTTGTTTAGGAAGAAGATCTTCATGGCCTATTTCGTCAAGTAAATCATACAATGATACTTTACGAGAAGAAACAATAGGAGCAGGAACTTTCCAGTTTCTAGTTCACTATTTAGGACCATGATCATGATCATCATCATCATCATCATGACTGTAATTCTTGTGAGAACAAGGAGATGCATTCTTCTCCTTTTTCTTCTTTGCTGCATATCTGATGGGATAAGACATCTAGGTTCATGTTCATTGTCTGATGCTTCCCACTAATAAGGTGTATTTCATTAACAATTAGGATCACATTCTTTTAGTGTACAATCTCAGATAAAATGACCATTTATGTGAGACACATAACATGGTTTGGCATTTTGATCTACCCAAGCAATTGGAGGTCCCGCTTGGATGGAACATAGGCCGGGGTAATGGACAAGATGTGTCTGAAAGGAACAAAATGACCTTCTTGGCCTGGCTTTAAGAAGACAGTTTTGATTGTGCCGTTTAGAAGCCTTTTTATGTCTGGGGGAGTTGAATTGTGTATATCCTTTTGGACACCATGAAATTGCCTTTCATAGTTAGTGATCCGTTCAAGAGGCATCAATTGAGCAAGTTCTTCTTTAGGGATCTATGAGGAATCTGGACAATGGAAGTATCATCAGCTCTATTAGAAACCATATAAAGAGCATCTTTAGTAGAGTTTTAAAAATGGAGATCAAGAGAATGATTCTAGAGTCTGTAGATAATTTGATGATGAAGAGTTGCCACGATAGCTCTAGGATCTTGATTTGCTCCAACTATCTGGACCTGGACTTTCAATTTATCCATCAAAGTTGGGTCTGAGAGTTTTATGTTGAAATCCAGAGCCATGGTAAGGATGATACTGCCATTGCTAAGAATGGTTACAATAGCACCAATCAAAGCATTACTGTAAGAAGTATAGGTAGTATCAACTAAAGCAACCTTAGCAGTGGCTGGAATGCCTTTTCTCCCATAAAGCATAAGAATGAGACGTACAGCACCAACATGAAGATGGCTATAACTTGAACCTTCCATTCATTAATTAAAGGCTGGGCTATATCAATAGTAATATATTGTTCAAAAAAGGTGGCATGAGGACCACAGTTTTCCAGGCTAGTAGTCTGGACAACTTCTTTCATATGAGGCCATCTGGTAGAAATCATATTTCTAACATTTCTAGAGACACAATTGGTATGATGATAGAGGCTATAACGACTGAGAAGAGGTAGATCTATTTCCTAAATTTTAGTATCTTCAGGAAGATAATCTATCTCAACAAGACTTTCAATCCTTTTAGAAAAGGATTTGCGAACAGAGGAATGAAGTCTTTAAGGGGTAAAGGAGGAAGAAAGTTGAACAGGTTCAAAGCTGTTTAAGGTATCACTCATAGCTTGGTAAATTCTTCTTACTCACCATCACAAATATAATATCTCACTTTGAGCCCTTAGGTCCAACCCAAAAGTTAGCTCGTAAGTAGGAGATACCCAAAAGATATTTAGATCCAATGGGTGTCAGGACTTCAGGCGATGTGAGACTTATCATCTCACCGCTCTTCACCCTCCCCCGCAACCAAGGTTCTAATACCACTTCGGGCCTTTGGGTCTAACCCAAAAGCTAGCTCATGAGTAGGAGGTATCTAAAGGATATTTAAACCATATGAGTATTAGCACTTCAGGCGATGTAGGACCTATTATCCTACCACTCTTCATGTATATATTTTATATATGTAAATATTTTATATATGTGGGGTAACTTGTTTTTTTATATTTGCAAATTAGAAAATAATAATTCTAATATAAATAATGTAACAAAATAATAAAAAAATCTAACCAAAGAGATAATGTCATATTTGTTAACTTATGATTAGTTCTCCCCCCTTCTTTCCCGAACCAAACATGAAACATTTCCTCCCCTCCTTTTCTCTCAAACCAAACAGCACTCATAACATCTCCTCACCTCCATCCTCTCCCCTTATAATTAACCTCCCATCCCCTCCCCTCCATTGAACCAAACAGAGCCTAAGCAAATACCCTGACTAGATGGTAATGTTACCACTATCGCCTAGTAGAAAGGCTTCTACTCCATATTTATGTTTGAGCAAAGTAGATGGCATCTTCGCCCCCCTTTTTACACATTAAACACAAAAGTAAAAAAATTAATTCATTATATATAAGGCTATATTTAATTTATTGGAGGAGACAAGGAGTGATAAAAGGGCTACGAATCATAGGCACGAGCATGAGACATAGGACCTACTATTGCTATTGAGCCTTTTAACCCTATTTCTTATATGTCAACGCATGTACTAAGTAGCTACCATATTATTTTCTTCGCCTTTGTTTTTCAGACCTAAAATAGAGGAAAACATATCAATAGTTTGCTTTTGCTTGTTTCCATTATAAATGACCAGATAGAGCCTTGTTCACAACCACAAAGACATTATTCAGCTTGAAAACTTCTTCTTGAAGGTTTCATACATTGACATCAATAAAGCAATGAGAATAATCATCACCCAACTCTCCTTAATCACTAATTCACTATCTTCAAATACGTTAATATCACCTGACTTAGCTTCATCTATATCGTGCTCGGGTTCCAATATATACCCAAAATATAACCAGTAAACTACAAATAATTCCTGACGAATAGAGCAATTTTTCTCTCACTTGATTGTTAAACTCAAAGACTATGAGTAGTGCCATTTTGAAAGCTTGTTACTGTTTTGTTCACTCCAAGGACAAAACTGTTGCACCAAAGCTCGTCCTCAACGCTAATCTCTTTTGCGTTTTTTGAACGAAATAAAGACGCCAACAAATATGGCTTGACGCCAAGAAATATGGTTTCACTCCAAGTCAATCTTGTCACATTTGACCCAACTGGAAGCCACATCAACTTCTTTCAACAATGCTCTAACTTGGTCTGACAGATTTTAGACGGAAAGACTAACGCCTTTAACATTTAAAACAATAAGGATTCAATAAAATGAATAAAAAGTATAAGGACCCAATTAAAACCTAAGAAAAGGAATAAGGACCCGGATATTAATTCTTGTCATCACTTAAAAAATTGAACCCGTACTATTTTATTAGCTATAACTTCATCATTTGTTCATACAATTTTTCTGTTTTCTCCGAACAGAACTTTTCTCCTTATTTTATACTCATTGTATATTTATTTGGAAAAATATTTTATACATTTATTATAACTTTTCCTAAATAAAAAAATTGTAAATAAAGACCCCAATATGTAAAATTGTAATTTGGGACTCTAAATTTGAAAAATAGGAAATAAGGGCCGGGTTCCACTTTTGCAAATATGAAATGTCGGTGAAATGTCTAAAATTCATCTCAGCAAAATTGTGACTTGAGCTACTGAAATTGTTATTCGCTAAAGTGAACTTGTCATTTCCCATAGTCAATTCGTCATTTGGCATGCCCTCAGTCAAATTGTGATTTAGTCTACTGAAATTGTCATTCGCTAAAGTGAATTTGTCATTTTTCATAGTCAACTTGTCATTTGGCTGAGAGGTATTTCAGATATTTTACCATAATTTCATATTAGCAAAAGTGAAACCAGGCCCTTATTTGCTATTTTCCAAATTTAAGGTCCTACATTGCAATTTTACATATTAATGGGTCTTTATTTGCAATTTTTCCAAAATAAAATCAGTTCAAAAAGTAAAAAATAAAAAAAAATTAGTGGCACAATTAAGTCCGTTGATAAGTCGGACGGCTCGGATCACAGAGCTTAAGAACCATGTGGTTTCGCCTAAAATTAAGAGCAGAACCACCGCCATCTCGTCGAGTCATCAAACCACCGCCGTACTTGGCGCCGCATTCTTGTATCTCGTGTTCTTCCTCTCGAGTTCTGGTAGGTAGACTTATTTTGAATTTGATTTGAGGATGACGGTATTCTATGCGAAGCTTCAATTTTTATGGCAAGTGACGAAAAATTCCTTTGTGCACCGCTGATTATCGTCTGGGTCCTTTCCGTAGATTGCAACATGTACATAGGATTATGTTAATTTGAACCTCCCAAAAACAAAAACAAAAATCTCACCAGCCGGTTACTTTAGCCATTTTACTTCGATTCAATTATTGCATCTTGAGTATGTATTTGTTGTATTTTTTCTAATATGTTTATGACATGGATGTTAACCTGGAATTTGTAACTTGAATTTATTTTACACTGTCTCAGTGCTGAAACCCTTTTTTGGACAAGGCATCGTAGTTGATTGATACGACTATGTTTTTGGTTTTTCTGATTCATACTGTTTCCTCTGAGAAACACATGGAATTCATATTTGTATATGAAGAAGAAGCAAACTCAGCTTCATGTACATTGATACGCTGTAAGTATTACTGCCATTTCAAATTGCAGTTGCGAGAGATTTCAATTCTTGGCAACCATTACACTATAAACTTTATTAGTTACTATGTATTTTCTAAATCGGTTTAACCAATTCTGTTCTTATCTTATTTCTTCTTATTCAAGGGCCGGTCTGGACCAACTTAAAAAAAGTACTTCTGCATTGCATGGGGTGAATATGATAGAGAAATTTTGTCTTGTAAAACGCAAAAGTTTGTTTTTTTAGAGGTCCCGAACTGGTACTTGATTTCTGTATGATGTTTTGTAAGGAAGCATTTATACTAGCACTCCTATTGGACTGATGGATTCTGGTGGTTGAAACCTGATTTACGGGTTAAAGTTCTTAGCATGATATGCATCACAGCCATTTGATGCCCTCTGTGTTTTCTTTCTATCTGGCATATTTATTAACTGCTGGAATTTTTTCAAGTCCTGAAAAAAAGGTTTCTAAGTTATATTCTTTATTTTTCCCCTCAAGAGGGTATAGTGGCCTTCTTCTGCAGCAATATCTATTTTCTTGGGCGTTCTTGTCTGGTTGCTGAATTATGCTTCATCTTCACATCTCTATCATTTGAATTTTGAGTTATTGGCCCCATTTATTTGTATTAACTTGTTGACTGAAAATTTCCTTTTTTTTTTTTTATTTATTTTGTCTATCATTATTTGCCTCCTCTCCTGGTAAAATGCCTGTTACGATCTCCTTTTCATTTACCAGAGAATGAATCTTTCCCCCCTTTTCCAATAGCTAAATCACACAAATTCAAGCAAAAAATGGAAGTTCGAACTAGCAATGCTGATTGTGGTAGATTAACGTATTTTCTATAGAAAATTTAGACTATCTTAGTCTTGTAGTCATGTTTCCCTCAACTCAAGGGAGCAATAAGATGCCATACTAGGAAGACCTGCAATTAAAGTTTGATCTCAACTTGGATGTTATAATATTCATATTAGTCCTTTCATCTTTTCTTACCATTGCATCATTTATACTGTTACCTTTTTTTATTTTTTTTATTTTTTATAAGAGCATCATTTATACTGTTACCATTCGGTGGCTTTTGAGAAAATCATCTATTGTCTATCTAATCTTATCATTTTCTGCACTTGCATTATTGAAAGTATAATTGTGACACACTGCCAACTTTCTAATGCAATCTTTTCTCCTTCTTGCCAAGATGGCTGGGCTTTTAGGATATAGAGGCCTCACCCCCAAGGCAAAGAATCTGGTAGTAGCCGGGGGTTTGAGCGCATTTGTCTTTGGGGTGTACTTCTACACCATGAGGGCTGTTGGAGGTACAGATGAACTACAAGCAGCCATAGATAAGTTTGAGCAACAGAAGAGCCAGAAAGGAGCGGAGGCAAGCGTTCCATCAAAGGCTTAAACTTTCTTGCTAGTGTAACCAAAAGCAGTAAATTGTGGTTTGTGGGACAAATGCAGCACTTCTGTGGGTCGTTGGTGTTAGGATTATGGTCTTCTTTGTTATATACTTTGCCACATTTCTTTCCAGCGTGAGAATATGAAAAGAAATTTGAATAAAGCAGTTAAACAGTTTCTAGCAGCTTTTTGTACGATTCAGTTTTTTAAGCGATAGTTGGGGAAAACATCATAGTAAGATGATTTTTGTTTGGTCACGGGAGAAAAATGCCTCTCCCAGCATATAAGGGATCTCACCCTTTGGTTGGAGAGATGCTGCGTGTTGATTAAGCTCCACTCATTGGTCTGTAAGAGTTTGAATTCCAACATTTTTTTTGGTTCGTGCAAGAAGAAATTATCAGCACCAGTACTGCAAAACTCAACTTCATCCTCGAATTGTTAATGAAGTTGTAAATACATATTATTGATAGTTTGTAACTAAAAGAGCTCCTCTGAGGAAGAAAAATGCTTCCACGAAATAAAGGGAAGCAAGCCAGGATAGAAAATCTCTTTAAAAGCAGGTTTTTCTTTTCGGCCAAAAGCATAAGTTGCTGTTGACTGCTAGAAATGATGGTTGAAGAAAAGAATAAATGGGGGAAAGAATCGGTATTTAATTTGGGCCCAGGTGAGGTTTCTTTTTGTTTTGTTATTTTTTTTTTTATGTATAGTTATTCTGTTCAAAGTTTTTTTTTAATGAAATTTAAATTCTGATTTGCTATGCTGTGATAAATTAATCTTTTCTCTTAAAGCCAACCCTCATTGGTTATTGCTTAATGAAAAATGATAATTTTTTCAGGCACTAGCCAAACTGTTTCATTTCATTGGTTAATGCTTAGTGAAAAATGATAATTTTGTCATGCACTAGCCAAACTGTTTCATTTGTTTAAGGTTGAGTTGCTTTGTTGCAACATATAAATGCAAGCCCCTTCTATTTTGTTTAACATATTTATCCATCTTTTCTAAAATAGTTTTTGTAATAATTACACATGTTAAATATTTCATCAAATGGTACTTTTAGTTAGTACATATAATTAGAAAGAGTATTTTAAAAAAATTACATATTTATTACAAATAACTAATTTAACTAATTTTCTTAATCTATTCAAATTAGTTAATTAGCTCTTATATTAAAACTAGAAATAATATTACAATGTAAAAAAAAAAAAAGACCACATTTTCCAACAGTAATTTTTCTTTTGCTTTTCATGAAACCATGGTTTGGGTGGGCCAAACCATGGTTTCATAAAAATATGGGGTGTTTGGCAACCTAAATCTTAAAACCATGGCTTGAGCTCCAAATGTGATTTTGGCAAGGTTGCCAAACACTTTTTAAATTTAGCTAAGGGGGTGTTTGGATGAAACCAAACCATGATTTGGAGAATAACTTCTGGAGAATAGATTCTGTGAAAAATAGATTTTGGGGAAAAGTCATTTCGAGAAGTAAGAGTATTTATATAGTTGTTATCAGAAACATTTTTGATATATACAAATTATTAAAAAAAGCATAAGTTAATATGATAATTACATAAAAAATGGATTTTATGATATATTTTAATTTGAAGGAATAAAATTGTTAATAATATATTTTCTACTAACATAATTAATAATACATAAGAAAATATAATTAATAAATAATTAATATGTGTGTATATATATATTTATAAGATATAAGATTAAATATGTTTATAAAAAAATAATTGGGGGAGGTTAAAGTCATATTATTTTGAGATCTACTCTGACAGGTACAATCATACTCTCTAATTAGAGACAGAAGTAGAATGGATTCACTTCTCCTGAAACCATGGTTTTAGACTTCAAAACCATAATTTTAACCCAAACCATAGTTTTGGATTATTTCTCTAAAATTGATGCTATTTGGGTGACATCTCACTCAAACCATGGTTTTGCCTTCCAAACCATGATTTTGAGGGGCACCCAAACAAGCCCTAAGTAAATAGAATTAAAATTGTCCTTTTCTTTCATAACCTTCATTTATATTTACAAAATTGTCCAATAGAAAATAAATTCGGTAATGATAAAGTTTCAGTTAATATCATTAATAGATTAATAAAATTATTAAATCGTGTAATTCCAATTTTACCTTATAACATGTCCACATTTAGTATCCGATAATGTTTCAAATAGGATTAGTTTTAATAGGAGGATGCTTATGTTTTAGGAGGAAAAAAAACCCAAAATCATTTAAGAGGAGGCTTCCTTTTATTTTCGCATGGAATTTTTTTAAATGGATTTTTTAGAGTGGAGTTCTCCTCCCCGAGTCCCTCCCCTTCTCTTAATTTCTTGACCTCCTTTCTAAATAAGGTTTTTTAAGGGGGAAAAAAATAAAGATGAGAAGTGAGTTCTTTATTACAAAATTAGCCTCGAAAGAATACTGTAATTCTATTCTTGCCCTCCGAACGTTTTCCCAGGCCCTATATTCCCGTTAAAATGGTCTGCCTCGCCTCTCCACTCTCTGCCACTGTCTGGCGCGTTTGTGCTCTCTTTCGCCCACACCAGCCCCAACCGTTGTCTCCGCTGCCGCCCTTGTCGTCGCTGCCCCACCGGTTCTCGCTCCAGGTTCTTCTTTTTTTATGCTCTCTACTCTATATATTTTTTTGGCTCCGTCTTGTCGCTCTCGCTCACTCGCTGCTGTTTTTTTTCGTTTTCGGTTTTCCTTTTTTTTTTAATCGAGTTTCTTTCTTCAATCTGCTAAGTTTGAAGTAAGAAGGTTCAGTTCAAACCTCGGTGCAAGAATTGAGTGTATATTTTCATCTTGTCCGCTTGCATTGAATAAAACGCTAACTCATATGTAGAAGCAGACAAAGAAAATGCCATTGAAAAAGAATAATTTCAAGCATGATGCCCTTTTTTAGGGTGGATTTCAGGGCCGTTTAGTATGCTGAACTGGGGGTACGGAGTTGGTCTTTGCTTCCATCAGAATGTTTGTTTGGGGCGATGGAATTGGAAAATTTTCCAGTTCTAATTTCACCAAAATTGGTGGATTGGCTTGCACCTTACAACCATAGGGTTTACAAGTCTGACTCACATAATTTATTTTTGCCCCTTCCTTCTTTCCTTTATGGTTAAACTGCTGGCCAACCTTCTCAAGCTTCTGGCCGTTCTCCTTGCCCTCTGGTCAGAAGCTTGAGAACAATGTACACTGATCAGTTAACACGGCGGCGCTGCAGATGCAGGTGGCTAATGTTCTACTAGTGTGGTGTTGGAGTTGGTGATGGTGGCGTAGCCATTCACGGGCTCGGTTGAGTTTTAAGCCACTCTGAAATTTTACTTAACCTGACCTGGTTTATCTCCCCCCCCCCCTCCCCATATATATAACTATCTGACTGTTGTCGAGCCCAATTGGGGTAGTTCTCCCAAAGGCATTTTAGTATGAAATAATATATTTCTCTTTTGTTTATACTTTAGATTTCAGTTGTTCTAACTTGATATATTCTCTGTAGGTTTTTTTCTTAGAACTTGTGCGATCAGCTGGACATAAATTGCTTCTGAAAGATGAGTGAGTTTCTGTTTAATGACATTTTCAAGGTTGAGGATGTAGATCCAGATGGTAAAAAGTATGATAAGGGTATGCTTCTTGGAACCCAATTTCTCAGTTCAGTTTAGTTGTAATGCAATGCTTACCCTCTCTTTCCTTACACAATGAAATTTCCATTATGTAATTTGACTTTGAGCCTCATGAGTGGAAGGTTGTTTCAGTACTAATCACAGCATTTTTGGTGATTTCGGGCATGATTGCTTTTGCTTAAAAATGGAGGTTCTCTAAAGGGTTCATTTTTATGGATAGCTATCAGCATGTAGCTGCGTTTATGACTTATCCGTACAAATGCTCGCTTGTTTTGGTTTGTATTTGGTGGCATATTAAAAATGAAAAAGAAAAACTTTTGGAGCTAAAGGAAATTAACTGTACAGAGATATATGTCATTTGTGAAGAAGAAACTAATGAAAATAATGCTGTTTTACTGTTATTTCTGTTGTGATCATGTCTAATAAAATGATTTCAAGAAAAAAAAAAAGCATGGTTTCATGTTTAGGATTGAGCTGCTAGACAGACAATCCAAAGGAAATTGCCTGTTAGATTTAATTAGAAGTTGAAAGATACTATTTATCAATTGTTATTTTTACTCACAATGCTAGCAAATGATATAAATGAAATTCAAACTCTAAGAATTCCTAAAATGATTATGAATTTTTTGCCAATACCAAGGATTAGCAATTTATTATGAGATAATTTACTCAATGAAATATGCATATCGATGTTTGTTAAAGAGGCTCTGCAACTCAATTAGGTAAGTCCTAAGTTACAATGTGTTATCCAGTAAGCAATATCCTGCTCCCCCCCCCCCCCCAAATGGATGTTGAGTCTTTATGGGTTTTGACATATCAGCTTTATAGTCTTACATGATATGTAGCCATATATCTCAATGTGTGTTTATTTATGTTCTTCTTTTCCTTACCTTCATGCAATGCTCAGACTGTTTCATAGGTTTCATAGGCCTAACCTTTTGTAATTTCATGACTATTTCTTTTAGTGTCTCGGATTGTAGCAAAAAGTGAGAAGTGTGACATGTACATGCTTCTGGATGTAAATACAGAGATTTATCCACTGAACAAAAATGAAAGATTCTTGATGGTTTTGTCTCCCTCTTTAGTTTTAAATACAAAGGTGAACTTTGTTCTCTTTTCATCCATGTTTACTTTTCTCTGAATATGACTCAGCCCTTTTTCTTTTTTTTCTCCCCTTTTGGGGACCTGAATGAATATGATTCAGTTTGAAGCTTTATAAATGTAATTTTTTTTTATTAATTACTTTTTATAGCTCATATATGAATTTTTTTGGTCTGATTTTTATTTACTTTTTTTGTTTTTTTTTAATAATGTCAACATACTGAATTGGAATAACTGCTGCCTAATGGATTATCTGCGTCTTTTGTGGAGAATATGTGGGAAATAATACTGTATGCTTCTATATATTATTCATCGAATACTAAGCTGTACAGAGATTTATAGGAGCTGTGGACGACTATCCTAGGAAAGGAATTAAAGGGTAATAAAGTATAATAAAAGCCTCTAAGTCTATGATTACAACGGTAAAAGAATCAATTAAATAAGGAATGAAATAAAAAGAGATAATATCTGTTTATGTGCATCCCATAATCTCCTGGATTTCCACACTCCCCCTCAAGTTGGATCATAGATGTCAATCATGTCCAACTTGCAAACTTGCGAACGAGTTCTTCAAATACTTCTTTGTATAGCCCTTTTGTAAATATGTCTGCATTTTGATTCCAAGCGGGCACGTGTATGAGTTTGACTAGCCCTTCATCGATCTTTTCTCTAATGAAGTGTTTGTCAACTTCGACATGCTTAGTCCTGTCATGTTGGACTGGGTTGTGAGACAGGTTGATGGCTGCCATGTTGTCTATGTATAGCTTCATTGGGAGTTCTATTTCAACTTTTAAATCTTTCAAGACTCTCTTCACCCAAATTAGCTCACATATACCTTGAGCTACTACTCTATACTCTGATTCTGCATTACTTCTTGATACCACATTCTGTTTCTTGCTTCTCCATGTTACTAGATTTCCAAATACGTATGTGCAATAGCCGGAAGTAGATCTCCTATCCTCGTAATCACCAGCATAGTCTGCATCAGTAAAGATTTCTATGTTTTTCTTCTCGGATTTTTTATACAGGATACCTTTACTCGGAGTGCCTTTCAGGTAATTTAGGATTTTATATACTGCCTTGAGGTGTTTCTCTTTTGGAGCTTGTGAATGCTGACCAGCTACACTTACTATGAATGCAATATCAGGTCTAGTATGGGAAAGGTAGATGAGTTTCCCAACTAGTCTTTGATGTCTGCCTTGGTCAACATCCTCGCCTTCATTTACCTCTTCTTCTTCGGTTTCTTCTTCATCTTTGCCTTTGCTTTCATTCTTCTTCTTCTTCTTTCTCCTCTTTGTTACTTCAATTGGGGTTGAGCTCGGTTTACAGCCCAACATCCCTGTTTCCTTCAAGAGATCAAGTACATATTTTCTCTGAGAGATGTAGATTCCTTTCTTGGATCGGGCTACTTCCATTCCTAGGAAGTACTTCATCTCCCCTAGGTCTTTTACTTGGAATTCTTTGGTCATTGCAGATTTTATTCTCTCCATTTCTTCATGGTCATTTCTTGTGAGGACTATGTCGTCTACATAGACACTTAAGATGGTTTTCCTAGTTTCTCGATGTTTGAAGAACAATGTGTGGTCATTTTGCCCTTGAGTGTAGCCCTCAATCTTAAGGACTTGTGTGAATCGCTCAAACCATGCACGCGGTGATTGTTTTAGGCCGTAAAGGGATTTCTTTAATCTACATGCCATGTTTGGTTTCCTGGTTGGGAATCCGAGAGGTGGCACCATGTAAACTTCTTCTTTCAGGTCTCCATTTAAGAATGCATTCTTTACATTTAGTTGGTAGATAGGCTAGTCTAGATTTGCTGCCAAGGACATCAAGATCCTCACCGTATTAAGTTTGGCTACTGGAGCAAAGGTTTCTGTATAATCCGTGCCATATATCTGAGAGAATCCTTTGGCCACCAGTCTCGCTATGAATTTATCCACCATTCCATCAGCTTTGTATTTCATTGTGAACACCCATTTACACCCTACTGCCTTCTTTCCTCGTGGTAAGGTTACTTCTTCCCAAGTTCCATTTCTGTTGAGCTCATCCATTTCTTCCATAACAGTCTTTTTCCAGCTTGGGGACTCAAGAGCTTCCTCAATTCGAGTTGGTGTCTTTATGCTGTCTAGGTTACTAGTGAATGCTAGATGCTGAGGGGAGAGGGCTTTATAGGATGTGTTTCTCGATTGGGTGTTGTGTGCAGCTTTGCGGTTTTTTTCTTTGTGCTATTGAGAGATCCAGGTCAGATATTGTTTCTCCTGTAGGGTCTGGGTCAGCATCACCTGTTTGCTTGTTAACAATAGTAGTGTTAAGTTCATCAGTTTCAGGAACCGTCACCTGTTCGGATTCATGGTGTGCCGCAGGAGTTACTGGCCTGTTTGTGCTTCTCTACCTTCTTGTGTATACCTTTTTAAAGCCCTATTTAGTTTGTTTCTCCCCCTCACTAGGAAGCTTTTCAGGTGTAAGAGTGAATGGGGGTTCATACTCCATAAAGAGTTTAGGTGACATTTCGTTTTGAGTGTTTGTAGAGTTTTCTAAAGGTTTCAATTCATCCCAACTCTCCCCTTGAATTGAAGACTGGGAGTAGAAAGGTTCAAATTCATGAGAGATGACATCACAACTAATATAAAGGCGTTTGGTACAAGGGTTATAACATTTGTACCCTTTGTGAGAGGCAGAATATCCTAGAAAAACACATTTAACAGCACACGGATCAAGCTTTCCTTGGTTATGTAGGTGAACAAAAACAGAACATCCAAAAATCTCTAAAGGAAGATTGTTGTGAAGGTAAGGTACATGGTGAGTTGAGTAAAGGACCTCTAGAGGGGTTTTAAAGGAGAGAACTTTGCTTAGCATTCTGTTGATGAGAAAACTAGCAGTGAGAATTGTGTCACCCCAAAAAAACTTTGGCACATTATGGGTAAGGAGAAGGGCATGACTGACCTCTAAAATGTGTCGGTTTTTTCGTTCTGCAATCCCATTTTGTTGGGGGTTGTGAGGGCAAGAGCTTTTGTGAATGATGCCATTTTCTTGGAAAAAATTTGAAAAATTGTTATTAATGTACTCAGTGCCATTATCTGTATGGAAAATATGGAAAATCTTGATGGAGGTATTAAATTGATTTTTGATCATTTGATGGAAATTTGTAAAAACAGAATAAACTTCAGATTTTTCTTTCAGTAGATAAGTTCAACAAACTTGAGTATGATCATCGATAAAAGTAATAAACCATTTGTGTTGAGTTCGGTTTGCAATTTGACTAGGGCCCCATAAATCACTATGAATGGTAGTAAAAGGAGATGAGGTTTGATAAATATTTCTGGAAAAAGTAGTAAGATGATGCTTTGCAAGTTCAAATCATTTTTATTAGAAAAACTTGAAGGAAACATTTGAGTTAAATTTTGAAAGTTAAGATGCCCAAGGCATTTATGCCAAAGAAATATATCATTGTCCCTAGGTAGAGAAATTTTATTGCAAACACTAGTGTTTGTGATAGAAGCGTCATCAAAGTAATACAGGCCATCAAATTTCTTAGCACTCCCAATCATCTTCCCTGTTGACAGGTCCTAGAATAAACAATGAGTGTCATAAGAATCAGCATGACATTTGTCAGTCTTTGTAAGTTTGTTCATAGATATTAAGTTGCACTTTAATTTAGGAACATGCTGAACAGCGTGAAGGGTTATGTGTTCAGAAATTCGAATATCCCCAATCCCAGCTACAACAGATAAAGAGGCATCAACAATTTTTACTTTAAGAGAGCCATCAAAAGGAGTATAAGAAATGAACAAATTACGATTATTAGTCATGTGATCTGATGTACCAGAGTCAATTATCCAACACCTACCTATGCATAAGCTTTGAATTGTGGTCAAAGCATGCAAGAAATTACCTTTGTGCACCATAGTAGCTGTTGGTTGTGCACGAGATGACTGGCCAGAGCTTGTAGGTTGCTAAGCAACTCTAATAATTTGGTAAGTTGTTCGTTGATACCAGCAGGGGATGTGGTAGATGTATCTGCACTTCGTTTTGTGCCAACAATATAGCCACGTCCTCTGCCTTTCTTTGGGTTCCAATCAACGGGTTTATCATGTATATCCCAACATGTTTCTTTTGTATGTCCGGCCTTTTTACAGTGCTCACAAATGAGTTTAGGTCTCGGGCCTTTATTGTTTGAGTTGCGAGAAACCAGGGCAGAGGATTCAGTATTGGTGACAGGGCTAGAGATAGGCATCATTATTCTGTGGCGTGAATCCTCCCTCCGTACCTCTACAAAAGCTTCTCAGACTGTTGGTAAGGGAACCCAACTTAAGAGGTGTCCTCGAACAGCATCAAGGTCCGGGTTCACACCTGCAAGAAATTCAAAGAGGTGCTCTTTGTCGACTTTCTTTTTGTATAGTGCAGCGTCTTCTGAGCATTTCCAAGTGTCTTCACTGTGGAGATCAAGTTCCTGCCATAGAGCGGACATGGTCAAATAATAATCATTCAAGTTTCCTATACCTTGCTTTAATTGCCACAGTTTCGTTTTGATTTCAAAGACTTGGGAGACATTTTCACCATCGAAGTAGGCCTCCAATATTGTTGCCCATATCTCACGTGCTATGGGAAGGAACATGAAACTCTGCTTGATGGCTGGTATCATGGCGTTAATAAGCCAAGAAGAAACCATAGAGTTTTTTGTCTTCCACTGTCACATGGCTTGCTGGTCGGATGAAGACGAGGTAGCCCAATTTACCTCGTCCTTCAATTGCGAGCTAAATAGATTGGGCCCACTCACGGTAGTTATCTCCTGTGAATTTTTCTGGGACGATCAGAACAACAGCCCCTTCAAAGACCGGTGTCGCACCTTGGCAGGAAGAACCGGAGCCATCATGCTCTAGAGTTGACTTGGTCGACTCACTCTTTTGAGGAGACGATGTCATTGGAAGTGATCATCAATTCCATAATCTCCGGGATTTCCACAGAATATTTGAACGATAAAGCATCAATTCCAATGGAAATAAAAGGGTTCTGCAATTTGAAATACTATTTCAACATTGGATGTTCAATAATGACATGCTCTAGTCAAATGCAGTGAACTATGGAGGAAAAGAGAAACTGATTGGTTCGTGCTGGGGGCAAAGCTAGTGTGCAACATCTAACAAAATTTTCTGTCTCCTATAGATCTTTGTTTTTTCCCCTAAAATAGAAGGAACATAAAAAGAGAAAAATTTAGAAGTGATGAGCTAATCATGATCATGGTATGGCGAAAGTCTTGTGGCTGAGTGGTGACAAAGAAGAGTAAATATTATAGTGCAACACTATAATTTCTGAAATTATGGAAGTTTTTAGTGGTCCAACCTTCAAATGTGTGGTCATAGATAATCAGTCAACTCCAGTATGCTGAGTTGTCAAACTTCCTCAGTGGGTAGTTGTTGATTAACTATAAAAATTTGCCTCTCATCGTTATCTACTGATTTTTGAATGATATGAAAAAGGGGGTCAAAGCTAACAATTAATTATTGTCTAGTTCCACCGTTTATAGTTTAACTTGATAGGAGACCCCAAGACTTGAGAAGAATCATATCACTCTGATGACTTCTTGCATTGCTCTATGACCAACCAGGAAAACAATCTACACCGTTGTTTCTGATAATCATTGTTGATGCATCTCTGCCCACATTAATTACTTGTAATCTAGTTGATTTTCCTATTACCAAAATGCCTTTTTACTACAGTCATTAGCTACATGCCAATCCAATGCATTGCTTACAGTTACCTTCTATGCTTACAATTGCTTGCAAGTGCATTTATTTTTTTAAACCTGAAGGACTACATGGCATGTAATGATCCCATGGCTGAGAACCCCCCCCCTCCCAATGCAACATCTAGCTGCCATCATTTAGTTGATGGGAAAATTGTATTACTCAGTTTAGGCATTGTTTTGTTTTGTGCCTTAAGAAAAGAAGGCCGAGATTTCTTTCTATTGAGTTATTGATTCTTTCTCCAGGATGGCAAGGTGTCCATTCAAGACAAGTTTGAATATATCATGCATGGGAGGTTGTATAACATCACAAAAGAAGGTTCCAAAGATGAATTTGAAGTGTACGTCCTGACATTTTCATTTTTATTTAATACATAACTTATCACTTTACTTGAAGCGAGTTGTTCATTCTATTTCAGTTTCAGCTGATTAAGTTTCTCTTTTTTCCCAGGGAGGTCTATGCATCTTTTGGTGGGTTACAGATGATGATAAGGGGCCATGTTTCCCACTGTCTCAAGTTTGTGGTCGATCAGAACTTGTTCTTGCTATTAAGGAAGATCGGAACTTAAAGCTTGTATCCTGTAATTGCTGATTAATTCTCTGAAAGGGTGAAAGATTAAACTGATGCAATTTAGGCTTATTAAACTGTCTGTTTTTACGACTCGGTAATGATTCAGAAATTCAGACCATGTAAGAAGGATAATAAACATATTTGGCTTTGTGGTTGCCATCTTATTAAAAGCTACCTCCTCTTTCCACATTACCCTTATTTAATAATGTTACTTAATCACACTTTTTCTGAACTGAAAAAATCCCCCAAATATTATATATTCACAGTTTTCTATTTCATTTACTATTGTGGATGTGTCTACATATATAGACAATAGAAAATGTGAGATTGCCTCACCTTTTATAGGTTTAAAAAGTCCCGTCACCTTTTTTTCTTTCCATGAGAGGATCCATTTCTTCCTGTTTGTTTTTTGAACATTCATTTATGTACTATATATATTATCAATGTCAATCAATATATATTATCGATATCGTGAAACATGTTAATTTCACAAAATAAATGGAATGTGTTATAACTTTCGTACACAGCCAGCCGCGTTCACTTGTGCACATTTCTGAAAGATGTACAATTTACAAGTCAAGACAATGAACATGGCCAATGAAAAGTGTAGAAGCGCAGCCGGCTATAATAAAGCAATGAGTTTGCTAACAAAGATAAAATGAGCTGATAAAATACGACTCATTCTACACAAATATGGGGCTCAAATTTTACAGCTGATATGAGAAAATTGGTGAGTTGATTATCGTAAATCTCATACTCAATTCACTTAAATTTTGAAAGAGAAAAAAATAAACAAGGACCACCAAAATATGAAATCCCAAAATAAACTCTTGAAATAATTTGATTCATTTGAAGTCCTTAGGGACTATTCAGGAATCAATCTTTTTTTTTTTGGTAAAATAACCTAATTGTACTCAACGAAATAGTTGACATTGTTGTAAAAGTACAAGAAATAAGGAGACTAGAGAGTAGAAAAGAAAACAAGAGATAAAAAAGACAATGGCCTTTTCTCATTCATTTTGTTTCATGATACAAATGCCTTATGTATGACTTCTATTTATAGACCTCCAAGTATTGAAGTCCTATGCTAAGGTTACAAAATAATAAAGAATATCATAATGGTATTAACAATGAGAAACTCTTCCCAAGTCATTTAGTAGGGAGTTTATATAGTTTATGACACTTGAAGGTAAGAAATCCTGTGAAAATTCTAAGGATTAGGGGTTATGGGCCTCCACTCATGCAATATTCATAATACTCCCCATTGGATGTCTATTATGAGTATTGTGTCTCATTAAAACCTTACTACTAGTGAAAGAAAAAAAGTACACAATATTTACTCCCTATAATGATAAAATCATTTTATGTCTTTAAGTCTTCGCATTCTAATACTATACACTAACTTCTCAAATGCTCTAGTCGGCAGTGTCTTGGTAAACAAATCAGCAAGATTGTCACATAAGTGAATTTGCTAAACATCTATATCACCACTTTTCAAAAGAGCATAAGTGAAAAGAATTATGGAGAAATATGTTTTGTTCTATCTCCTTTGACATATCCTTCCTTTAATTGAGCAATGCATGCTGTATTATTTTCATATAATACTATTGGACTCTTTTGTTCAAGGGAAAAACCACACATTTTTTGAATATGTTGAGTCACTGACCTCAACCAAACACATTCTCAACTTACCTCATGAATTACAATTATTTCTGCGTGATTTGATGAGATAGCTGATAAAATTGGTTTTGTTGAACGCCATAAGATTGGTGTGCCTCCACAAATAAATAAATATCCTGCTTGAGATTTGCCTTCAGAGATATCGAAATATATGCTTAATTCCATTCCAATGCCTTCTTGTTGGGAAAGAACTAAATCTTGCCAATAAACTAACAACAAATGCAATATCCGGTCGTGTTGATTTAGTAAGATACATTAATTCACCTATGGCACTAAGATATGGTACTTCAAGACCCAGAAGTTCTTTCTCATCTTCTTGAAAGCGAAAAGGATCTTTATCCTTATTAAATGATCTTACAACCATAAGAGTAGATAATAGATGCACCTTATCCATATAAAATTGCTTTAATACTTTTTTTAAGTATAAGTTGATTGATGGAGGAAAATTCCATTTGCTAAATACTCAATTTCCAAGTTGAGGCAAAAAATTTGTTCTTGCAAGATATTTCATTTCAAATTCCTTCTTTAACCAATCAACTGCTTTTTGAAGCTCTTCAGGAGTTCTAATTATATTTAAATCATCCACATAGACAACAATTATGACAAACTCTGATCCATTTCTTTTTATAAAAACGCATGGACAAATTGGACCATTTTTATAACCTTCTCTCAATAAATATTCATTAGGTCAGTTATACCATATTCTTCTAGATTGTTTTAAACCATATAAGGATTTATGCACACGAATTGCATAATTTTTTCGAGAATTCTTACATGTTTATAGCAATTTAAATCTTTCATGGGTTTTCATATAAATTTCAGCATCTAAAGATCCATACTAATATGTTGTAACAAGATCCATTAGATACATTTCAAGTTTTCTATGGACTGTCAAACTAATTATATATCTTAAAGTGACTGCATCTACCACAGGAAAATATGTCTCTTTATAATCAATATCAGGTCTTTGTGAAAACCCTTGTGCTGCAAGTCGTGCTTTATATCTAACAATCTCATTTTTCTCATTTCGGTTGAGCACAAAGACCCATCTGTATCCAACTGGTTTGAAACCATTTGGTATGTGGACTACAAGTTAAAAAACTTCATGTTTTGAAAGTGAATTTAACTCTTCTTGAATTGCGTCTTTTCATTTTGGCCAATTATTTCTATGCCTACATTCTTCAATTGATGTAGGTTCAAGATTCTCATGTTGATTAATTATTTCAATAGCAACATTATATAAAAAAAATGTTGTTGACAACTATATTTTATTGGTTCTATCTTTTTCCTATAGTAACATAACTTATTGAGATCTCTTCATTATTTTCAAGTATCTGGCCCTCTTCTGAGGTCTTTTGATTAGTTATGTTTTGGTCCTCTCCTATAGGACTTGCCTCCTCAATTTGACTATCATGACCATCATGATTATTTGCTCCTTTTTTCTTTTTAGAAGTTTTATCCTTGGAATCGATTGGTCTATCCTGCTTCAGGCGTGGTTTTGTTTCACTTGCGCTTTTTAGTATTTTCAACTGGAATATGAGATTTAGTAATTCTCTTAGGGTCAGGAAATGTATCCGGCAATTGATTTGCAGTGTTTTGCAAATGAATTATTTTTTGAACTTAAAGTTCACATTATTGTGTATGAGGATCTAGATGAGATAATGATAATGCTCTCTGTGTGATTTCTTTATCTAGATGCTTATTATCTCCCCCTAATATTGGGAAAATTATCTCATCAAAATGACAATTATCAAAACGTGCCATAAACAAATCTCCTGTTAATGGTTCTAAATACTTGATTATAGAAGGAGACTTATAGCTAACATATATCCCTAACTTTCTTTGAGGTCCCATCTTTATGCACTATGGTGGAGCAATAGGGACGAATACAGCGCATCCAAAAATAAGATGGGAAATATTTAGTTCCTGACCAAAAGCCAATTGTAATGAGGAGAATTCATAATAACTTGTTGGATTGATGCGTATAATTGTTGTTGCATATAAAATTACATGTCCCCAAGCTGAAATAGAAAGTTTTGTTCTCAAAGCATTGGTCTAGGCAATCAATTGGAAGTGTTGAATGAATGACTCTGCTAGGCCATTTTGAGTGTGGACATAAGTAATATATTTTTCTACTGTTATTTTAGTTGCCATGCAATAATCATTAAAAACTTGAGATGAAAATGTACTAGCATTATTAAGACGAATTGTCTTAATTGCATGGTCTGGAAACTGTACTCTTAATCGAATTATTTGAGCAAATAATCTAACAAATACTAAATTGTGTTGATAACAAACACACATAGGATCATCTTGTAAATGCGTCTATTAAAATCATAAAATATTTGAATAGTCCACATGATGGATGGATAGGTCTACATATATCTCCTTGGATACGTTCTAAAAATGCAAGAGACTCAACTCCTACTTTTGTCAATGAAGGCCTTATAATTAATTTTCTTTGAGAACAAGTAATTCATGAAAAATCTTTAAATTAAAGAATCTTCTGACTCTTCAATGGGTGTCCATGGAAATTTTCAATAATTCTTTACATCATAGTTGATTTGGGATGGCCCAACTGATCATGCCAAACAATAAATATATTTTTATCAGTAAACTTTTGGTTTACTATAACATTTGTTTCAATTGTACTAATATTTGTATAGTACAAACCAGAAGATAATGTCGGTAATTTTTTCATGACACATTTTTCTCCATTTCTTACTATGGGAACATGTAGATATTCAATATTATTCTCATTTATAGTCTCAATATGATATTCATTTCAGCAGATATCTTTAAAACTTAATAAATTCCTTTGAGACTTAGAAGAATATAAAGTATCACTAATAACAAATTTTGTTCCTCTAGGTAATATTATAGTTGCTCTTCTGGAGCCTTCAATTAGTTTTGTATTACCTGCTATAATATTGATGCTTGCATTATTTATTGTAAGATGAGAAAAATATTTTTTATTTTTGAGTATGGTGTGTGTTGTAGCACTATCTATGAGGCATATATCTTTATTCTTGTGCTCAACAAAAAGAAGAGCAACGTCCATATTCTTCACCAAAAGAAAAGAAATGCACCAACATAAATTCCAAGTACATCATGATCAATAATGGTCTTAAAAAAATACAAAGAAGTAAATATAAGTAAAGCATAAACTAAATTATTTTTGACCAGCAAGCATAACCTAAATTAAAAAGCACAAATAAAACAAACTAAAATATTTTTTTTCCAAACTCTTATAATCATGATTCTTAAAGAAATCAGCCACCTCTAAATGTGTCATAGCGTTAAGGCCATTAACATCGTCATTCTTGTATACAAAATTTGCCTCCATATCATCAATTTGAAAAGTCAAATTTGCTTTCCACATTATTTGAACTCCTTTTTATGGAGTCTAATAAAGTTTTGCTAGATGCTTAGGTGTACGATAGATACGTGACTAATGTCTTTTCATACCACACCAGTAGCATTGATTTTCAACAACTCTTGAAGGGCCATTCTTATCTTTGTTTCTGCTCATCACTAAGTTTCTTCTTTTGGTAGGTATTTGGGTGATAATTGTTACTTCCACCACCATAATAACAGTATTAACGTGTCCCATGCTATGACGATAATACGATCGCGTCCATGTACATGATAATTATTGCTTACAATCACATTCGCTTTAGGAAATAGAGCTAATCCAGTGGGACGGATCTCATGATTTTTCATTAATAGCTCGTTATTTTGTTTAGCCACAAGAAAACATGTGATCAATTTAAAATATTTCTTAAAACCCTTTTCACAATATTACTATTGTAGGAGCAAATTTGAAGCATGAGAAGTTGAAAAGATTTTTTCTAATAAGTCCTCATATGTTATTTTCTCACCACATAATCTCAATTGAGAACTTATTTTGAAAACTGATTAATTATATTCAGTCACAATTTTAAAATCTTGGAGCCTCAAATGCATCCATTCATAAAAAGCTTTAGGTAAAATTACGGTTTTTTGATAATCATACCTTTCTTTTAAATTATTCTACAATTCTAATGGATCTTTCACCATTAGGTAGTTAGCTTTCAATCTTTCATGCAAATGGTAGTGTAGAAAAATCATGGCCATAGCCTTATCTTGGCTAGCTGCTTTATTTCCAGATAAAATAGCATTTCCTTGGCCTTTGGTATCTAGGTGAATTTCATCATCTATGACCCAAGACAAATAATTTTTTCCCTTGATGTCAAAGGCCGTTAACTCGAGTTTGGTAAGATTGGCCATGGATCAAACTAAAATGACAATGACAAAAATTAGAATTATAATAAAATTGATACTTATTGAAACATAATAAATAAAATATTAGGATTTAAAAGTCACGCATACATAAATTATTCAATTAAAATTATGAACAAAAATAAATAAATAAATAATAACAAATAAACATATATGAGAATGAAAAAGTGAACAATACAAATAATTAGTTACAATACATAATATAGAGACAATGTATATAAATATATATATATATATATAGAGAGAGAGAAAGGGGGAATAGTAATATAAATAAATATATAAATATTACAATAAACTAACTAATATATGATAAAAATTTAAATTAAAAACAAAAATAATGCTACAGTGAAATAAATACTGATTTATAATATAAATAATAAATAAACCTATAATCATATAAATTACATTATATAATCACATATAATACTACTATTAGGCATTATTATAAATAAATTATATAAACAACGTGAATATAAGCAAATATAATGAGAGAAAATAAAATATAAACAATATAAATTATATATACGTATATATGTATGTGAGAGTTAGTACAACACAAATAAAATAACATAAAACAACATAGATACCAAATGGAGGTGGTGCATAAATGAAAAAAAAAAACATAATGTTTTACAATAGAATAACATAATAAAATAACTTAAAATAAAAGCAGAATGATAACATAATATAAAAAACAAAAAGGGAGAAAAATAAAATAACATAATGTAACATAAAATAAAATATATGACATAATGACAAAATTAAAATGTAAAGAAAAGAACAATAGAATAACATTATATAATATAAAACATGATAATTGAGAAAGAAGATAATATAAAATTAATATGTAGTCAATATATAAATATATATGATGATAATGATTGAGTAAGAAGATAATTAGATGATGAGAAGAATACATTATCTTACAAAGAGTCTATACCTTAAATTTTCAGAGTTAGGTTGTGCTAATAACGTGTTGTAAAACTACAGGAAATAAAAAGACTAAAGAGTAAAAAAGAAAATAAGAGATAGAAAAGACAATAGCCTTTTTCGCATTCACCTTGTTTCATGGTATAAATGCCTTATACATGTCTTCTATTTAGAGGCTTCCAATCATTTAAGTCCTATACTAATGTTACAAAGGAATAAAGAATGTCATAATGGCATTAATAATGAGAAACTCCTTCCAAGTCATTTATTAGGAAAGTTATGTAGTTTATGACACTTGAAAATAAAAACTCCTATGAGAATTCTAAGAGTTAGGGGTTATGGGCATCAATTGATACAATATTCATAATAGTCATGTATTAGTTGTTTTTGTTGGTTAATAAGATAAAATTCCTACTTGTTAAACCGTTATTTGTTATGAATATTATGTAGATGTCCATTTATCCCTTCCTCTTCATCTTCTCCAAGTAACTTCTACTACCTCCACCTTTTATTACTCCTCCACTATCTAATCACTCTTGTAACTCACCTCCATTCATATTTATGGGATTGATTATCCACCATTTGTCATTTAAGGACAATTGTAACCTATGTGTAAGACTATGCCTATAAATAGGACATGTCATTTGTGTTATAATGCAAGTGAAGCAAGTGAAGGAATACAATATCATTCTCTTATTTTCTTGTCTACTTCTCTTCTCCAATCTACTTTCATTGTTGGTTAATTTCATAAGACGTTATCAACATGAAGCGCTCTTGTAATCAGAAGGTGTTGTAGTAAGGCTAATCAACTAGAAGGTAAATTTCTATATCACTTCTATAATGGTTTGTTTTATAATTATTCTATCTTCTTATTCATATTGATTTGTTTCATAACTATTCTATTCTCTTAATATTAATTTTCATTTAACTTTTTATATGATAGTATCATCATGTCAAATCTCATTAAACTTGAGTTTGTGGCTCTTGACATTACTGGAAAGAATTATTTATCATGGATATTAGATGCGGAAATATATCTAAATGTTAATAGTCTAGGAGACACAATCAAGAAAGGCAACCAAGCATCCAACCAAGATAAAGCTAAAGCCATGGTCTTTTTACATCACCATTTACATGAGGGGCTCAAGATTGAATATTTGACCATAAAAGATCCACTTGTTCTTTAGAACAATTTAAATGAGAGGTATGACCACCAGAAAACTATAATCCTTCCTAAAGCTCGTTATGACTGGATGCATTTATGTTTACAAGACTTTAAATCTGTGATCGAATATAATTCTACAATGTTTAGAATCAGTTCTCAACTGAAATTATGTGGAGAAAAGATTACTGATGAAGATATGTTAGAAAAAACATTCTCCACATTTCATGCATCCAATGTGCTCTTGCAGCAGCAATACCGTGAGAAAGGTTTCAAAAAATATTCTGAATTAATTTCTTACTTGCTTGTGGCTGAGCAAAATAATGAGCTTTTAATGAGGAATCATGAATCCCGTCCTACTGGCTCCACTCCATTCCCAGAAGCGAATGTAGTGGCAACTGAATCAACTTGTGCCCATGGTTATGGATGTGGACGGGGCCGTGGTCGTGGTCGTGGTCGTGGTTGTGGAGGTGGTCGTTCCTACCAGAAGTGGGCAAATAATGATGAGCATCACCAAAAAGAATCTAGTGGAAATAATAATCATGTTGAAAATCTTTGTTATTGTTGTGGTGGGAAGGGTCATTGGTCTCGTACTTGTCATATGCCAAACCATTTGGTTGACCTCTACCAAGAATCGCTAAAAAATAAGAATAAGAATAAAAATAAAGGCAAAGAGCCAAAGGTGGAAACAAATTTTGTTGGAGAAGAAGGCGATTCTGATTACGGCAACATGGATGTTACTTATTTGGATGTTGCTGATTTCTTTACCGATCCTGATGGAAGAATTGATCACTTAATTGGTGATGGAAGTGTCAAAAAATGAGTCATCTTGATGTAATTGAGTTTTATAATTAAGTATATTTTCATGTTTTGCTTATAAGTGTGCTCTTTCACCTACCACAATAAATTCTGTACTTGTAAGGTTATTACCCAAATATAATTATGAGTTTTTATTCATGATAAAATTATATTTTCTTTTATTAATCATTTTTCTTTTTAATCTTTTTCCTATGTTTTTTTTTCATGAAGAATGACCATTATTGACATCAATAATGAAGATTTGTATCTTATTGATAGTGCAACAACTCACACAATACTCAGAAATGAGAAATATTTCCCTTCTCTGGTAATGCGAGAAGCCAATGTTCAGACTATATCTAGAAGTATAAAGCTCATTGAAGGCTTTGGAAGAGCTGATGTATTGCTACCTGAAGGAAAAAATTTATATATTGATAACGCATTTTACTCTACCAAGTCTAATAGAAATTTATTGAGCTTCAAGGATATCCGCAGAAATGGATATCAAGTTGAAACAATAAATGAAGGAAATCAAGAATACTTGGTTATCACAAACTTAATTTTTGATAAGAAATGCATTCTAGAAAAATTACCTGCCTTTTCTTCAGGCTTGTACTACACACGTATTAGCACAATTGAAACACATGCTATTGTAAACAAGAAGTTTACAAGTGAAAATAAATTTAACATTTGGCGTGACCGGTTAGGCCATCCCGGGACTATTATGATGCGAAAAATAATTGAGAATTCATGTGGACATTCACTGAAAAGTCAACAGATTCCACAATCACATGTTTTCTCATGTGCTGTATGTTTTAAAGGAAAGTTAATCATTCAACCATCACCAACAAAAATAGAAAGTGAGTCTCTCACATTTCTAAAACGTATACAAGGGGATATTTGTAGGCCGATACACCCACCATGTGGATCATTTAGATATTTCATGGTTTTAATTGATGCATCAACAAGGTGGTTGTGACAACCGCTCTTTCAAAACTATTTTAGATTAAATCTAACAATTTATTTGAATGATTAACCATGATAGAAAAAAAGAAACCTTAAAATTTTAAAATCGCTATCATGGTTAAAAGAAATAAACTTATAATAAGAGTAACATCGATCGTTACCTTGGGCCTTGGACTTCCAAAGTCCAGAAATATCATTCAACCATTAGCCCAAACCAAACTTATATTTTCAACCATACGAACTGATAAATCAGTTTAATATAAATATAGAGCTCATTAGTCAAAAGTCAACACTTTCAAAGGAGCGTTACACGTAGAGTCTAAAACGTCTCGGGCTCCTCACGGCCCTATCATACCAGATAGTAGTAATTAAAAGTATTATTTTGCATCATGATAGTAGATGAGCCCTATGTGGCAATATATAACAAGTCAGCACATAGAACAAAAGCAGGGAGGCTATACAAGCTATAACAGCACACTATGCCTCTGGAGCCTTCCCTGATGGGCCACCACCTGAACTATCGCCTGAAAATGTTAAACCACGGGGTGAGACAAACGCCTCAGTAACCAACTTTCCAACTCATCATACATACTAACATGTGCTCGTGAGGTGTCAAGTGGGATAATTATTAAATCTCAATATATATATCAATGAAAATACAAATATGTATATTCAAATAATCTCAATCATCCAAATCCTCATTACGGGAGCTAACACACAAGCCACATAAGTCTATCCCTCCCTATAGGGGATCAAACCGACCTATAGGCCTATCCCACACTTTGGGGGACGATTAAATAGTCACAAAGATCCATCCCTTATTACAGGCCTATCCCACACTTTGGGGGACGAATAAAAAGCCACAAAGGTCTATCCCTTACTCTAGGGACGAAGGAAGAAGCCCACCAATGTGCACCAATGGCGGCCTTACCACGTGGTAGGATAGCGCTCAATCCAAAATCCAAATAACAACCAACCATTCACAATATAACAAAAATGTCTCAATATTTTCCCAGTATAATCCATAAGATATAAATCATATATCTTTTCCAAACTTCTCAATCACAATTCCAAAAATCCCACAAGACAATTTTCATAGCTCAAAAGATATAACATATCTATTCAAGTTCCAAATATCAAATATTATTCTAAAAACAGCAAAATACTCACAAACAACATATTAGCACATATAACAAGTGGAAAGTGGTTACCTCTCGCCAAAGCAATATTAAGGATTACCACAAGGTCAATCCTTTGCTCAACCAATAATTAATCTACACAATTAATATAACCACATATTAATATAAATTAATTAATTAAACTTCTCTATATTATTTAAATTTCTAACAACCCCAAATTATTTATTTACCACCTCCAAATTATTTGCCTTAATAAAAAGGATTTTCCACAATTTCCAAATATAAAATTATTATGTTCTAAATTCTAAAAACACTCTTTTTAAGTTTAAACCTCAAAATCAAACTATCAAAAATTTAATAATACTTCAAATATTTATAACTAAATAATCTAATCAAAACTTTAATGGTATAACTACCATATATATATTTCCATAAATAATAAACTTTTTAGCTACAATAATTATTTTAAAACCTCCAATCAACCAATAAATAAAACTAAACCGATTAAAATCTTAATAATATGCCAAACAACCCAAATAAATTACTTAACTTGAATTTAATCGGTAAAAATATGGTGTATCTCATAAATGACAGATTTTCAACTAAATAAATTAATTTAAATACTAAAACTAACAAATAGAGAAATCTAAACCGGTTAAAATTAACAACTCAGTCACTTCTAAATTTCTATAGTCATCTTTTGTCAAAACTCAATAGTTAGATCATATACAAGTCTCAAAATTTTCTCTAATCACTATGATAATACTACTATTAGGAAGCATAAAATATATATGAAATATTTATGAAGAAAGTTTGATGAAAAGAGATAATTTCATGTACCTAAAATATCTTCAAAGCTTATTTCCTCCTCTACCGGTCTGCTCCTCCCACTCTAACTCTCTCTTTCTCTCTACTTCTTGTTCTCTCTCTTTCTCGTTCTCTCTCTTTCTCTCCCGCATGGACTCATCTTCTGTGTTCCCTCTCCCTTTTATTCTTCATTTCTCCAACCACCCGCTCTCACTTTTCTTCTGGCATTAAATCCTCTCCCCCAAGGTCTTCATTCCTAATCCAAATGGATCAATTTTTCCATGCCTAATTTCTTTCTTCCACGCACCAATTTTCCATGCCTCCACTTTCAACTTTCACTTTCCTTCTTCTTCTTTATTCTATCTCTTTCCACCGTGATTGTTGACTCTTTCCCCTTTTTTTTTTTTTTTTTAAACCTTAACTAACCTTTAGGATATTACAACTCTCCCCACCTAATTAGAATTTTGTCCCCAAAATTCAAACAACCACATACAAGAAAGAAAAACAAAAGTAACTCAAAGTGCTTACTAAGAAAACAGGTAAGGGTACTCATAACGCATCCGTTCCTCTGTCTCCCAAGTAGCATCACCGGGACTCATGCCCTTCCAAAAGACTTTAACAAGACGGATAGTTTTGTTTCTCAATTGTTTGTCCTTAACGTCCAAAATCCGCTCTGGTTCTGTTGGATAGGTCAAATTATCTCGCAATTCCACCTCTTCAGGCTCAATAACATGAGATGGATCAGGATGATACTTCTTCAATTGTGACACGTGGAACACGTCGTGTAAACTGGAAAGATGTGGCGGCAGCGCAATTCGATATGCAACAGGTCCAATCCGCTCTAAAATCTCATAAGGACCCATAAATCGGGGTGTGAGCTTCTTGGCTTTGATGGATCTACCAACATCAGTGACAGGTGAAACCTTCAGAAATACATGATCACCCACGTCAAATTCTAAAGGTCTCCTCTGACGATCTGCATAACTCTTCTGTCGACTTTGGGCCATCAACAACTTCTGCTTGATTAGCTCAATCTTTCTGGTTGTGATGTCCACTAAATCTGGGCCAATAATTGTTCTTTCACTTAATTCAGTCCAACAAAGTGGAGATCTACACTTCCTCCCATACAAAGCTATGGTGCCATTTGAATACTAGTGTGATAGCTGTTATTGTAGGCAAACTCTGCTAATGACAAGTGAGTGTCCCAACTACCCTTTAGCTCTATAGCGCAAGCCCTCAACATATCCTCGAGAGTCTGAATCGTCCTCTCAGTCTGTCCATCAGTCTGAGGATGATAAGCAGTACTAAACTTGAGCTTGGTGCCCATGGCTTCATGTAATGATTGCCAGAAGTTCGATGTAAACCTCAGGTCCCTATCTGAAATGATAGACTCCGGCACTCCATGAAGTCGAATAATCTCATCTATATACAGCTTTGTCAATCGTTCTAACGAGTAAGTACTCTTGATAGGCAGGAAGTGCGCTGACTTAGTCAATCTATCTACAATTACCCATATCGCATCATAGCCAGCCGGGGTTCTTGGCATACCAGTAATGAAATCCATGGAAATACTATCCCATTTCCATTGGGGAATATCAAGATTCTTTAATAGTCCTGGAGGTCTCTGATGTTCTATCTTGACCTTTTGACATGTCAGACATTCATTACAAAGTCCGTGACATCCCTCTTCATTTTTGGCCACCAGTAGTTCCTTTTCAGGTCTTGGTACATCTTGGTTATCCCTGGGTGTATCGTGTAATTACTTCGATGCGCCTCTTCTAGAATAGTCCTTTTGATTTCCTCATTATTAGGGACACAAATCCTCTTCTTGTACCTTAGGATTCCTTCTTCACCAATTTCATAATCAGGCACACCATGGGTCTCCACTTCCTCTCGGATGCTTAGTAACCGATCATCCTCCATCTGTGCAGCCTTCAAATCTCGAAAGAACTCATAATCACCCAAAATTGATTGTAGAGTGGCTGGAGCCTCATGCACCACTTGGAGATCGCTCAATCTCTCTAAGCAATAGTGTTCCTCCAGACTCATGTGAAACACATGCACCGTTTTCCTACTCAAAGCGTCTGCAACCACATTGGCTTTACCCGGATGA